GTCATTTGGTATTGTCTCGCGGGCCAAATATAGTTACAAAGCGGGCCAAATTTGGCCCGCGGGCCAGAGTTTGACACCCCTGCCTAATTGCATCCAAGACCTTCTGGCTGATGATTTTAGGTTTTCCTGAAGCATGTGGAAGTAATCCTCCTTCATTATTCCATTTACTTTATGTTAGGCAGCAGTTCCACTGGCAGCGATAGAGCCCAAAGCATAATACTACCACCATTGTGTTTGATAGTAGGTATGTTGCTCTTAGGGTAAAGGCCTCATCTCTCCTCCAAATAACTTCTGGTCATTTGTGCCTAAAAAGCTCAATTATTGTTTCACTGACCCCAAAACTTTTCCCCAGAAGGCCTTTTCTATGTCCATTTTCTTCGTCCTCAATTTGTAAACATTCTGACAATATACCCAAGCGTTGGAAGATGGACTTTTTTGCTTACCTGATGAACGGTCATTTTTTTTGTGTGCAAACAAACTTTGAAGTCACTATTCCAATGGCACTAATACTGGCTGTATAAAGTGAATTACTGTTACCCCTAGTACAGTAACAAAAGGTGTAGCTCATTACATTTACATAAAAATGATCCACTAAATTTGAACTATCAGAATGTTTTGCTGTAATTTACAGAGGGATGCGTATCTTTCACAAGTGACAACCTATTTTTTGTTTTGTTTTGTTTTGTTTTTTTACAGGAAACATATGTCTTTTCTATGGTATCAAATACCAGATCAGGAAATAATGTATGAAAACCTTACTGACCTTACAGAAGTTTCCTCTGAGTTGACCTGTCCAAGTACTTTTTGGGACCATTGTATGTGTGCCATCAGTGCTAAGTCTGGGTCAAATTTACTTTTCCCAGGCATTCAAGCAACACCTTTATCCACAATGACAGAAACCAAGTTTGTAGACAAGTCAGTAGGTAGGACTTCTGAGGACACTACTGAATTAGTTTGGTCTCTTTACACACTCTTGGAGGACTGTATCTACCTACCTTTACGTCAATGTCTCGTGTGCTGCCTTCATGCATGTTAAAGTGGACTATCTCTGGACTGAGGCCTGTCTCCATCTGGATGTACATCTGGTAGCAAGTCTCCATCAACTCTTTGGCTAGATCCATGTGATCAGCAGGCAAGCCGTTGTGAGCACCAAGGGCCAGAGTACCTGGCAAAAAACAAACTAGATGGTCCTGGGGAAAAAAAGTGTAAACAAGACCAGAGTTAATAGACAGCTGTGCTACAGACATATGCCCCAAAACACATTTGTGATGAAAAGACACTGACTTGAATAATTAGTTTATGAATGTAAAAATTATTTCTTAAATGCATAGTTTCATCTCTGTAGCTTCTAAGTTGATCTGTATCCTTCATTTTGTGGTGAATTATATTATTTATATCAAAAATCTCTTTGTTGTCATAACTTTTTGAAAATTTCTCAATTTTACTGTTAGCACAAAGGCCCAAAAAAACAGGTTTTCAGAAGAATTTCTCTGTTTGTTCTCAATGCCAGTGATGTTATGTGTAATAATAAAGGTCCACCAAAGTCAGTTTTAAAGACACAGGAACACTGCATTCAGTCCATCAGTTGTAGAAAACAGTGGCTAAAGAGTCCGACACAGTTCAGTGTAACAGTTTTCAAAGACCCAAGGCTTCCAAACTCCAGGAGTACTTAAAATATCACAAAATCAAAAAGTTGTATGAACACGTTTTGCAAATGAGAGATTTGCTTATATGCCTCAGCCAACCAGTAAAATCGCAGTTTCTATTTATGTCCATCCAGACTAAGTAATATATGCAGTGGTGACTTTGAAGTGAGCTGATTCATTGAGAGAAACAAATCCAATTCCTTATTTGTGTTCATGTTTGTCCACAAGAACTGATTTTTACAAAATACAAAGTCATAACCATGACATTGAGCAATGCTTTAAAAATGGATTTCAAAACTGTCAAATATAGTCAGTCTCCACTTCTCTTCCCAAGTTATCGTGTTAAATAACAGTTAGAAAAGTGTTTCTGCAGAACATTGTCATGTCATGTGAAGGTGACTTTTGACCTTTTGGATATAAAATATCACTTTAGAATTTTATCCTAGTTGACCTTTGTGTACATTTTGTCATACCAAGCATATGAATTCTTGAGTTGTGGGTAAAAACATGTTTTTTGAGGTCATGGTGACTTCACCACCAACATCTGAGAAGTTCATCCATGAGTTCAACTGAACAAACAGATCTAAAGATATTTTCCAAGAGTCTTTAAGAGATACCATATGAGCAAGAATGAGACAACAACAATAACTGATAGTGTAACTGTCACTGTCAATGTGGATGTTGAAGGAGGTTGCTTTGAATCTTTAATAGATTTAATAGCAAATGGCAAAGAGAAAAATACACATGGAGTCAACCTCAACTACTGAACATACCACTGCCTTTTCAGACCTTTTTACTGAGACAAACATTGGTCTCGCAACACCACATATTTTACAAATTTATCTGCCGAGTGTCAACACTAGCTGATTTTAGCTTAATGACTCGTGGACAAAAGAAAATAATTTTTTAATGAATTAGCATTTGACAGGATAACAGACTGTTCACACCTGAGGCTATAAGATAACAGACAAGCAACTCTGAAGATGGTTTTAAATATTACTGACCATTTTTGGGCTGAACTGTCCATGTGAGAGTTCTCCAACAAAGGTAAGGCCATTAGGTGAAGACTTCTGCAACAGGTTCTTCTTTACACCCTCTATTGCCTGTAGATAGTCCTCCAAGAATCTAAAATTGTACACACAAACACACTCTTCAGGAACAGCATTCAGTTTTCAAAAATGAAATAAGAGCCCCTATAGCTCACCTAGTTGAGCGGGCGACCCAAAAACAGGGGTTATAGTTCCCATAGGCAGCGGCCATGGGTTTGACTCCCACTCAAGACCCTTTGCTGCAGGTCTCTCCCCATTCTTCTCCTTCCTTTCCTGTCAATCTCTACTGCTCTAAATAAAGGCATAAAGCCCCCAAAATATATATAAGAAATAAAATAAATAGGAGAGAAATCCAAAACAAAGTGGCATTGCCCAAACGGTAAGCAGCAGGGAGTCTGTGGAGACTTGCATGCAAACTATTGATTAAATTAGCACTTTACACTTGGGCACTGCCTGTAATTATCAACATTAACACTTAAAACCTGGCAAGTTTTGCCAAAGATTTGGCTCACGCAATTAAAGAGAGCCTGTTTGGTTCTTCTCCCCCTTGAGGAATCGTCACCTTATCGCAGTGGAGGGGTTTGAGTGTCCCCGTAATCCTTGGAGCTATGCTGTCTGAGGCAATAGCCCCTGGTAAGGTCTCCCAAGGCAACTTGGTCCTGGGGGAGGGGCCAGACAAAGAGCAAATCAAAAAATACTGATGACAGTCTAAAATAGGAAAGCCGCCACCTCGCCGGGAATAAGGAAACCGGGGCCTCCCCCTTGCACCAGGCCTGGGGAGGGGGGGCTTGCCGGAGAGCCTCTGGTGGTTGAACTTTGAGGCCCTGTGGGGTTTGGTTGGGCACAGCATGAAGAAGCAACACAGGGCAGCTGCCCAGATGACCCACCACCAACAGGACAGAAAACTGGGGTCGGGTGCCAACCAGGCAGTAGGCAGGGGTGGGCGTCTGCATGCGCCGCCCCCTGGTGGTGTAGAGTGGTTGTGGGGACGTGGAGCGTCACCTCACTGGTGCGGTAGGTGGAGCAACAGTGGCTAGATATAGTCGGGCTCACCTGCACGCACCGCAAGGGGTCCAGAACCAAACTCCTGGAGAGGGGTTGGACTCTCTCTTTTCTGAAGGTGCTCAGAGTGAGAGGCGCCGAGCGGGTGTTGGGATACTCAAAAGCCTCTGGCTGAGCGCCACTCTGTTGAAGTTCTCAACAGATGGTGAGAACAGGCAGAATGGATGGATGGATGGATGGATGGATGGATGGATGGATGGATGGATGGATGGATGGATGGATGGATGGATGGATGGATGGATGGATGGATGGATNGATGGATGGATGGATGGATGGATGGATGGATGGATGGATGGATGGATGGATGGATGGATGGATGGATGGATGGATGGATGGATGGATGGATGGATGTTCTTTCAGTGAAACCTGAATTTCCAAATGACAGCTCAGATAATCCTCTAACCATTTCAGACTGAATTTATGAACACAGCCATGGCAAAACAATAAGGTGGCCAATGATTATTTTTCATCTAGAACCTGTGCATTATGTGTGAGCTAATTGCAGCATCAACATCCCAATGTCCACATGCAAAACAGTCAAATCTCAGGAAGTGCAATGTGACATAAGGCAAATTACCTCAAACACATACTAGAACGATTTTTTTGCAGCTTGACACTAAACGAAAACACCCACCATGATCATTTTCCATTACTAATTTACAAAACAAGTTTGTCCGAGTTTCTTACTTTATATAAAAGATACAGAGTCTGATGATGTGCAGGCTCCACACGTGCACAGCAAAGTGAGTGAGGACCAGGAGACAAATACTGAAAATAAAGATTTGACTGCAAAAAGAAATGCAACGTCAGCTGTATGGAAATATTTCAGCTACAGTAAGAATGATATAGACCAAAAACAGGTACTCTGTCAGCAGTGTCTCACAACTGTTGCCTCTCCATGAGGCAACACCACTTATGAAGTTTTACAATGTAAATCAGCACTGCAAAACTCTCTACGACTAGTACAAATCCACAACTAAATGCCAAAGCAATAAAGTATTTCAGATGCCTTTGCCAGTTTTACTACATAGAAAGGTTCCAAAGAGCCTTTTCAGCTCTTTTTAAATGTTTTCTTTTTCTTTTTCTTTTTGATAGAATGATTAATAATATCAAAATAGTTTAAGTAGTCTGGTAAAAAATTCCTGTATTCTTTCATATTGCAATATAATTAGTAGAAAAACAAAATACCACAGGTTAATGGGAGATGAACACTGAGCTAAGCAGTTGAGAACAGGCCTGTACCTGCACCTTACCATGTTAAGCACTGTGAGATGACATTTGTTGTGAATTTGAGCTATGTAAATATAATTTAATTTAATTGAATTCTGATCCCTTGAGGAAACCCACCAAAATCCCACAGTTTAAGTTGTTTTGTGGATTGGGATCATGTTCTGGGGTGCACAGAGACTCAGTAGTTCGCACTGTTGGCTCACAACCAGAAGATCCCTGGTTCATGTCCCCGCCCGGGATCTTTCTGTGTGGAGTTTGCTCTTGTTCTCCCTCTGCAGTGTGGATCTCACCAGGTACTCTAGCTGCCTCCCATAGTCCAATGCTGTTAGATACTCACAGCAAAGCTTACATTCTTTTGCCACACAGAGATACATAACACTGGATCATTTCCCTCAATAAATAAATAACCAAGTATAATATTTTGGTTTGATTTGTTTCTCAAGGTTCTTTTTACCTACTTGGTGGACTTGTGTGAAAATTGGATGACTTGTAGGTCAACATCTCGCAGTTACAAAGGGTTTTCCAAAAGCTACACAAACTTTCAAGTACCACCTTAAATTGTAAATACATAACATATGGTGGGCTGACTCTGCAAAAGTACCTGAATGGTCCTTAAAGGCATTACATTTCATGTTGTTACATTCATTTCATTAATTCGGACTCACTGGTTCTCTTTTTTGCCTCCCTGGATCCACTGCTTCAGCAGGTATTCATAATAGCTATCTGCTCTGGCTCCCAGTGTGTAGATGCCTTGATGGGTGAACTGTCCATTGTTTGTGTTGATGAACATAGGCACAAGACCATCCAACTTGCCATCCAGCTTGTGGACCTGCTTCATAACCTCAGTCACTGCAGCCTGTAGAACCAATGATGGAGGTCAGATCAGTTAGGTTGTGGGGATTTCTTTGACATTCATTTTATGAGTCAAAGTCACACATGGGGAGTATCCCTATCAACTCAATTGATAAATTTAGTCCTGCAATTTTTGTGAGGCCCTGTAGTACAGTAAGTCCTTACTCCCAAAACAAGCAGAAAGTATGTTAGTATTTATTCAAGAGCACAATTTCTTGTTTTCACATTCAGATACTGTAATGCTGTCTCTCAAAACTCTGCCCTTGCACTCAAATAGTCGCTGCCTTCATATATGCTGCTGCTTTTTTAACCGATTTTCTGTGCTCTAACTTAAACACTCCTCTGTGCACTAAAGTTGCTTCTGTGGGCTCACAAAGGTGAGGGAAACTTAACATTTAACCAATGCATACATTCAACTGATGAATAAGAGAATTTTTTTATTTTATTTTATTTTTTTACAGCGTGGCTAATCGTACAAGTTCCACGTCCACATGTTACTTCTGTAATGCCTGGAGACAATCTCCTACCCTCTCGTGCTTTGACTGTTTCATATCGTCACCCCTTTGCTGTCAACAAGATCAACTAATGTCTTTTTGGCATGTTTTGGCACCTACATACAAGTCACCCACTAATATATTATTATTACAAACAGTCTCCTCCCTACCTGACTACAAATACCATGTGGTACCTTGACAATGCTCAGGGTCAGATTACCTTCCTAGAACTGCTCTCTGTCACTGTAAGCCACAGATCATGTACTGGAATACCAAATAATTTGCCACTGCAGCAAACTTTGGAACAGGACTTGAGTGATTTCTTCAACACTGGGCATATCCCAGACACGCTTGATTGCATCTCTTGGTCAGTTACCTGGTACTGTGGTTCTTGGGTGAGGCGACTGAGCTCCCTGAACTCCAGCTGGATGCTTGTAACTTCAGCTACAGTGCTGTCTGAGGTCCAGCGAGGTGGGTGGGCGGTGCCTTTCCCAATGTTCACATCAGAGTACGGGATCCTGGACGGAGTGTTGAAAGCAGGCATCAGCCTGGAGCCAATGTCTTTCTGTGCAGAAAGAATGCAGATTACATGCAGATGTTTGCAACTGAATGGGACTGAATACTACAAATGGAAGTGTCAAAGTTGAATGACTTAATTTGATTTTTACATTTTGATGGAAGGTGTGCAGATTTACAATGGGTGTGCAGCCACTTTGAGATGTGTTGCTATTTGTGGCAAGGGTATGTATTGTTTTTTGCTTCTCATTAGTGACTACTGAATGCCTTGCTTTGCAGTTTATAGCTCATGTATTATTAGAGGAAAAGTTTTCTCTCGTGAATTCTAGGATGATTAAACTGAGATTTTTCTGGCATTACTATTTTTTGCAAAGATACCACGACATGAGCTGATATAAATCAATTAGTAGACAGAAAAATAATTATGGAACAACTTCAATCAACTATTTAAATGATTCTAACAAGCACAAACACTTAAAATGTACTCCATGACCCACCTCACCAAATATGAAATGAAAATAAAAATCATGCACATGCAGTCATGGGAAAAATTATTATATCACCCTTGTTTTCTTCAATTTCTTGTTCATTTTAATGCCTGGTACCACTAAAGGTATATTGTTACTTGAAGAATACACTGAACATGACTTTATGTCCTATTTGACATGCTGAAGCTTAATTCTATTCCCAGTGTATATAAGAGGTCATTTCATGTCATAAGCAGCACTGCACATGCAAAGGCCTAGAGTGGTTTCCTGCTTACATTCAAGCCGTAGTACAACTTAGAAGTTGTCAGCTCTCACATAATGCCTAAAACAAAAGAATTATGTGAAACCACAAAGGCAGCCATCTTGGCTCTGCTAGAAATTGGCATGACAGGTAGTGTAAAAACTGAAGATCTCCAAGACAGCCATTCATTACACCACGACAAAACAAGCCCAACATGGTACTACCAAACTGCTAGCTGGTCGCGGCAGGAAACGCCTTTCTGCCCCACAAGATGACCGTGCACTCATCCGTTCCTATGTTAGGAATCGTCGTCAGACCTCCAGGAACCTTAAAAATGAGTGGGCACTGTCGAGAAATGTGACTTGTTTGGCAAGGACAGTTTGAAACCGACTTCTTGAAGCTGGTCTGAAGTCACACAGGGCACTGAAGAAGCCCTTCATCAATGAAAGGTCGAGGAAAGCCTGGTTACTCCTTGCTGGGGATCAGTAGGATTGGACTGTTGATGATTGGCTAAGGTTCTCTTCAGTGAATCCAATTTTCAGTTGATGCCCACTCCAGCCACTTACTGGTTAGGAGGAAGCCTGGAGAAACCTACAAAGCAGACTGTCTTGCCCCTACTGTAAAACATGGGGGTGGATCAGTGACGATCTGGGCTTGTTTCAGTTTGGGTGGAACAGGGCAAATGCAATTGTGTGATGGGCTGTGACAGGGCTACTCTTGAAAGACAATGGTGGGCTAATATTTTTTTCCATGACTGTACATGTCCACTACCACCACCATGTTTCACTGCTGGCATGATGTTCTCCTTGTGGAATGCACTATTAGCTTCACACCAGATGTCTTCCAGAAACTTCCACCCTTGATTCATCAATCCACAGAATCCTTTGTTCTTGTTGGTCAGGAGTGGTTTGCATTTTGCAACTCTCCCATGGATGCCATCGTTGCCAAGTGTCTTCCCTATTGTGGAAGCACTGACCTTCACTGGGGCCAGTGAGGCCTGCAGTTCTTTTGATGTCCATCAGGGTTCCTTCATGACCTCCTCGATAAGATGTTTACAAGCTCTTGCAGAAATGTTGGTCGGCCGGCCACTCCTGCAAAGGTTCACCACTGCTCCATGTTTTCTCCATTTGCGGATAATGTCTTTCACTGTGATTCACTGGAGTCCCAACGCCTTAGTAATGGCTTTGTAGCCCTTTCCAGACTGATAAATGTCAAACACTTTGTTTCACATTTGTTCTTGAATCCCTGTAGAACATGGCATCATGTGCTGCCTTTTGAGACCCTTGAGTCTACTTCACCATGCCAGCCAGGTTCTATGTGATGTTTAGATTCAACAAGTCTGGTAGTTATCATATGTGGGTGTGGCTAGTGAAACTGAACCCAACTGCCAAATGAATTTGGCCAATTGGTAGATTGGTAGCTAAGGGAGCAATTACTTGTTCATATAGGGCAAGGTGGGGCTGGACATAATTTTTCTTTCAAAAAATGAAACCATCATTTAAAAACTGCATTTTGTGTTTTCTGGGGATATCTTTGTCTTATAATAAATTTAGTCTGATAATCTAAAACATTTAAGTTTGACAAATATACAAAAGTATCTGTAGGGGGCAAATACTTTTTCACAACACTGTATAACAGTATGCAACAGCGCAATGTGTAACTACCTGCTAGATACCGTAAAAAGAGAGCCCTGTTTGTTTTTCAGTGTCTAATGTGAGAGGCAATGCGATCATCGGCATAGCACACTGATGTATGTCCTATAGTATACATACTGTAGTATGAATGGAGCCATATGCACATCTACTGACAGTGTTCAAAGTCTGCACTGATCAGTACACGGTAAAGCAGAAAAAAAACAACTGGACTTCCAAGTCTTTACATTCTTGATTTAGGCTACTCTTTCATACAAATCACTACAACAGGTGTTTTTGGCTAGCTGGTTTAAAGACTGATGTTCAAGTCAAGCCACTGTGAGCGCCTTTTCCAAATGCTTCACCTTGTGTTTCTTGAAGCAGTTCACAGTTGATTTTAATGCATGCTTTTTATTGATGGAAATTGCAAGCTGGAAGTGCTTTTATATTTTTTAATAGCATTCCCCTACTTTGTATTTAACTCGCTTAACTCGATCAGTTGCTCAGAGCAACCCATAGCTATTAAGTGTTTCTACAAGGTTTAAAGAGTCAGAATTTATCAGCTCTGAGGTTATCGTTAGCTGATGGTTCCTACTGATGATTGTTCCTTAGACGTTTTAATCAGTCAGTTATGTCCAATGAGTTAATGAATAAGGAGTTCACAGTTCAAGACTTTACAAGCAGAAAGGTTCTGAACCATCTGCATATGGCACAGTTTTTGCATAAAACTGTACAGGCTGGTGGTACTGAGAAGACAAGACCCGGAATGAGTTATAACAAAAACTGAAGTCCACTACCTTCACAATTATTGCCTAATTTCTTTTTTAATGTCTTGGGCTTTGAAATGAGTGTGTGGAGACTCACAGCTTTGTCTAAAAACAGGGTGTCTCCAGTCAGATGGTAGGTACTCAGCAGGCCTCCCAAGATGCGAATGGTGCTTTCAAACAGGTTCACATCAACATTTTTGTTGAACGTGAGCTCTGTGGCCACCCATAACTTCGCTTCTTCAAATTCTGCAACACATAGAATAGAATAGAATAGAATAGAATAGAATAGAACTTTATTGATCCTTTGGTGCAAATATACAACATATATACTTTTAGAAAAAATAGATTATAATATACGATCTACGTAAACATTATTATATATTACAAATATATAAAATAATAAAGCAGAATCTATACTTTGCATTAAAATCTCAATATATGCATAACTCAACTTATTATGAAGAACTGTTTTTCATCTCTTTTTCTTACGACTGTCCCAATCAGTGATGATATAGGGGCATGGCGTATTTAGCTTTGTTGTGAAGAAACGGGTTTGGCAAGGTTCTGAGGATTTTGTAGGCTGCCACCTTATCAGAGTAACTTTTCATACATGCAAAAAGTCAGTATTTGATATCGATTATTGAACATTGATTTTTTTTTGTGTAACATTGGATGGTTTATCTAAAAACAGTAAAGACATAGCCCTGAGGAAGAAGTACTAAGTTGGGAGGTATAAAGGTCAGTATACCTTCTTTCAGCTCAAGGATCCACATGGTATCCAGGGCATCGATAAGCGTTAACCCAAGACCAAACCACTCGCTGTAAGACTTGGAGATGGGCCTGAGCTCGTCATGGCCCCAAGCAAACTCTTTATAACCCTTCCAAGCATGTCTGAAAGCTTCTCGCACTGCCTCCAGCCAGGTAAATTCTAGAAAAGACAAGACAAAAATAGAGTCTTCTTATTATCTCTTCCATGTGTACAGAGAGAGACTTAGAAACAAGTGACTAGTGTCAGAGGACAGATGTCAAAGTTGCACTTATATAGGCTACAATTACACTTTAAGGGGGATATTACATGTCACGGTCACACATAGCACAGTCACAGCCCTAAAAACTGTGATGCAAACACTTTCATTCTTTTAGCTAAGTTGACAAATAATAATTCAAAATCAATACAGAAACTAGTAAGAAAAAGATGAGATACCTAAGTCTGTGGAGGTTTTGACTTCCTGGTTGGCAGGTGAATCCTCCCTTTTTTCCCCACTCTTGGTGCCTTCCGTGGCTTCATCAGTATCAATCACAGCCCCACGCCAGCTAGAAGTTACCATGAGATTAATTGTAAATAGGAACTAAATAAGACCAATGACACAGTCAGGCAGAAAAAGTAGATTGTTGGCTTTGTGTACACATTTCGACAGCAAATATACAAGCCCTTCTGAAACAGTGCCTTCTGACAAAGGTGATATAAAAAAAAATAACAAGAAACACACATTATGAAAATTATTGGTCTCTGATTAGGTGCCAAATAATTAAAACCTCAAGGGGTGATAGGTGGAACCTGTCTTATTTAAAGCTTTGACATCTAGAGTCTGCTGTCCTCTTTGCTATGGAAGTGTGTGGTGTTATCATGACAAGATCTAAAGCGCTCCCTAAGGCCTTCAGAGAAAAGGTTGTGCAAGGCTGAGGTTGTAACCAAAATGGAGTGTGCAAGTTAAATTTTCACATGAGAGTGCATGTTGATCATCAGGATGTTGTTGTTGTTGTTGACTTGGTGCCCCGCTGGCCAGCACAGGTACCTATTGCACCAGCTATTGAGGTTGAATGTCATACTTTTTCTTTCACTTTTACTGTAACCGTGTTCCAATGATGGAATGTTCTATTGCTGATCATTTAAAAATTTTAATTTCAAAAGTGCTACAATTGGACGAGATAGTCTGGAGCCTGGGTGGGTCTGACAAATGATTTAAAAGTGCTCCAAAATAACTAATTCCAAGTAAAATCATTTACAGGCAGCACAGATTTCAAATGACTTAATTTTTCCAGGGACTGGCTGCTCAGCAAATTGAATCCAACATCAGACTATTTGATGTAAAAAATATTTGACTATTTGATGCAACCCTGGATCTCCAGGTAACTGCAGCTGTAGGTGCAAATGTGCTGCAATCACAATCCGATAGATTCAATTGACCTGCATAAGAGAAATATCAGGAAAAACCCTTTGTTGTCTACAAAGTAAATTGTAGCGAAACCAGTTTGCTAATGTGCATACAAGAACAAAGCTGGCTTATTAGGTTATTTGGTCTCAGTAACAGAAAAGCATAGATGGTCAGCTCAGCGCATCAATCATCACTCATATCAACCCAGTAATTTGACACAGACCAGACAGACAGATGTTCCAAAAGATAAAGCTGAACTTGAAGTGGATTTTTAACAGACTATTGACCCTCGGCACACAAGCAAATTCACCAAGAAATGTCTCAAAAAGGAGAAATAGAGGCTTACAGAATAACTTAGTGAAATTCCAACAGGCAGTACATGCAAGAAAACCCTCAAACATCTTGCTACTGAAGGAATTTTGCAGAAAAAAGTAGTCAAAAATTGATGGACAATTATGCAAAATGCATAAAGAGGGTATTTGTCAAGGGATACATACATGCTTCTCCATTTTCCTAAAAAATATATATTTATTGATATTTTCATTGAATAAATGACTGAAAAAGATCATTTGCCTTGTGGTTGTGTTCACATATACCACCTTTAACTGTAGGCACAGTACCAAAGTGGATCAAACCTGATGGATACTGTTGGGTTTTCTGAACTATGTCTAAACCCCAACAATGTCCACAGAACATACATACCTTTCCACCACTGTATAAACAAAACTAATTTTAGTTATAATTACACTCCAAGTCTCACCTGATGACTCTTGCCTCATCATCTCCCTTCTTGCTGTCAGCTGCCTTGACTTCAACCACGATCTCTGAAGCATTTCCTTTCTTCTGGAGACGATTTTGAAGGACTGGCGGTCCTCTCTTATTGGATAGTTTTTTCTGTGGCATATGGCAAGAAACTTTTTTAACCATTCAGATGTTCACTTCATTTAAGCAAGTTGTTCAGAAAGAGATGCAGATTCACATTATAGGTAAATGTTATACAACAATTTGCCACAGCATTAAAACCAATTGACAGGTGAAGTAACTTAAGGTTGTGAGCATAACCCCTGTTTTCTATTTAGCATTAGTGAGTGTCTCACTATGGGAGCTCCTCCTTCTCCTGTATGATTTGCTGCAACAGTGTCAACTGCCCATAAAAGCAAGCTTAACTTTGTCTCACTTCTATAGCAAGCAGGATGATCTGATGAGACACACACTCATGCTAATCAGAGAACTGGGGTTAGATTCATAACCTTAAGTTCTCCTGTGCAGGATTTGTTTTGTGTCTCAGTGTGGGAGAAAGACTCCCTGATTGTCAGAGAGGACAACTGCCCTCAGTGGCACTTCAGACCTGAGGGGCTCCAACCTGAGAAGAGCACACACTGAGGACTGAGTGTGCCAGTGTTGATGCTGTGACATCCAGTCTCTAAATTCTAGCAAAAGTGTAGGAGCATACAGGTGCTAGGCCCCTAATGGCTCCTACTATCTAGTGGGAAAGATGTGGCATGGCACAGGTTTTCCTACATGCCCAGGGAGCAAATAAACAATACTTATATAGCGCCTTGGTGGTACTCAAAGCGTTTTACAGGGATCGACCCACCAACTTTGTGAGTAGAGGACATACTGCTCTACCACCTGAGCCACAGCCACCTATATAACTGATCGCTTCATATAAAACTCTCCTGTCCAAATAAGCTTGCAAAGTGCTAACCGGACACAAACGATGCAGATGCTGGTGCTCCTCAGAGGAGAAAGATGGAGAATAAAAGCAAATCAGTTCTGCAGGGGTGCACAAGCCCATAACGGATACACTGGGTTAGGCCGCATACTGATCTTAGTATTCCCGGGAGAAATCTTAGTGCATGTAGATTCATGTAGGAGTGGCGGGCCGCCATTCCTAAATCCTAGCCGCTGCTTCTTCAAATTTTTTTCTTCTTTTTTTTTGTTTTTTATTTTTGCAAAAACACCAACGTTGCATGTCTCCACCTTCACAGCAAAGTCCTGCACTGGGTTGGGTACTCACGAGTACTAAGGTAAACTACAGATAACCATCTTGCTTGGTATCTACTCTTTGGGGGGCGGTTAGTACGATGTTAATTACTGGCGAGAGCGCGACCTTGAAAGTGACGTCACGTAGAGCATCAGGCTCCAGGTCAGAGAGTCAGAGGAGGGTCGTCTTGGAGAATAGGGCAGCGACATACCAGAGAAAAGGTAGACTTATTAGCTTAAGATAACTCATAGATTTTACAAGATAAATAGACATCTGTAAAATATTGATGGCCAGCCAACGTCACATAACATATCGATATCTTAAGTTAATTGGACCCGGTGCCAACTCAGTGTCGCTAACGTGAGTAAACTAACTGATAGCATTAAGCTAATATGTACACGACATGATGGAACTGCTGACTGCATCTTCAGATGAGCTTGTTCAAATATTTCTCTAAGAAGAGAAAGACACCTGATGAAGATGATGCTATCCAGGTATCATCAGCCTTTTACTGACTCATAAATCCTGATGGTGGTCAAGTAAAAAATAGTGTTCACACTTGTAATCAGATATGATGTGATTTTAAATGATTTAACGTTAATGTTTTATGTAACCGTATAAGACAAGTAACATTAGACAGGGAGCAGCAGTGGAACAAAGTGAAGGAGAGCAGAGTGGAGGAGCAGGAGAGAGAGATGAGAGCAGAGGAGAAGAACCTAAAGGGGAGCTCAGGCTATCAGGCTGGGACCCTACATGGGGTGAAAGAAACAGCTGGTTCTACTCATAGCTTTACCACACTGATAACAATGAGGGAACCTTTTTTTCCTTTTTTGCATTATATGCATGTCAATATTTCTGTTAAATAAATAAAAAATAATAAATAAATTCAGTGTATTTCTATTTTAAGAAATTACTTATTGTTTTTATTCTTATCTATTTAAAAAAAATAATAATAATTATATTCAGCCTTTAAAAAGCCATGTTCAGCTGGCCAATCAATAAATAGGTTGTAAAAGTAAAATCTGCAGTCAAGTGTCATTTGTTTATGCCACCACGGCTCCCCGGAGAGCCTGCTCCCACTGAAGAATCCTAGAGGAAACACTGGTGCATGCGTTTTAAATTCAGACAGTTCCAAGACTTCAAAAGCAGGAAAAGAGAGAACGTTTAATAAAGCAGGGCTCCAGACAAATTTTTTCACTGGTAGCACCGGTGCGACTAACTTTCTTATTTCGTCACACCTCCCACCTTGTTACAGGCAAAATACATCACTTGCTGAACATCTGCTTATTGATAGACACTACAATGTACAGATGTTCCCTAAACACCCCACACTGTAGGCTGGGGTCGCTGCTGCTTGGTGGCTGCGGTGCTCAGACAGGAGTGTGACTGAAAAATACTTTGAAAAGAGTTAAACTGGGGTGTTCTATTGTCGGATTTATCCGAGATGAAACTGAATGATATTTTTTTTGTACAATGTGGAGCACACCGACATGTGCTGTTCCACTCATAGAAAACAGTGAATGCAGGTGCGCTCCACATTTCATGAGAAGACCTCATTTTTTAGAGTAAATACCACAGTCCACCGAAGTTTTAAAAGTGCTGCTTTCCACCGCTTTGGTGAACACAGTAGCTGATTACAGTGACACAGAAACAGCTTAATGATCATCAAATACTTGTACGAATGCGGCCAGTTGAAATTTCAACTCGCACACTCTCAAAAAATAGTTGCAAATGCGACCAAAACGGTCACAGTCTGGAGCCTTGTAAAGGGGGAAGATTGAATAGTGGAACCAAGAGCTGAGGCATGGGTAGCTCACAGCGTGCACCATTTGTGAATTAACACACCAAAGGGTACTGGGCTCACTGTCTTTCCTCCCACTGTGAATATGATAAGCTCAAATCGCTGCCAAACATCAAAGGTTGAGAAAGCCATACCCTTCTCTAGAGGGTCCTGTAGGAATGATAGAGTCACTAGTACCAGACACTGAAATGGGATAGCCTGTGGCTCTGGGCAGCAGCTCGCCAACATCTGCCACTTATACACATATAATGACTTTGCTGATGCAGCTCTTGCGCACCAAGCAATGTCAACCACGATGTGAGAGAGTCACACCGTGTTCACATCGAGCCAGTCACTGGCCAGGCCCACAGAGCCAGCCTCTCTAAGTGGGACCACTCTAGTATCTACAAAACTGTTCTCTCACTACTTCTGTAATCATGTGAAATGTTGTATACTTTTAATGACATTACTGCTACCCGATAGACTACAAAATAGTGCGTTTGGTGTGTCACAACTAACATCAACTGTGAATATTAAGTACAATTTTTCACAATTCACACATAAAATGCCCCAATCCCTTATGAAACTGTGTCCTAGCCTTTGGTAAACAGAAGAAAAGATATAGAAACCTGGGAGGGTTGTTCTGGCAGTGGTGGTGGACTCTGTTTGGCCGGCTCGGGCAGCACGAGAGGGACGAAGGGCTCCAGGATGCTGTTACTGTCTGTGTCTTGCTTTCCATCTGTAAGGCCTTAACAGATGCAGACTTAAAATTACAGTATTGCAGAAACATATCCAAAGTGTGGCATGTCGACTTGATGATTACTGAAGGTCATGAGTTAGGACTCTTCAGGAGCCCCACAATAAAGGACTGGGTTTCTGTATACGTCAACTTGTTTCGACTGCTAGAAGGAAAAAAAATCCTTATTGGGTTGGCATTCAACAACTCCATCCTCCAGGAGGTTCTGACAGCCTGCCAGAGGCTTAGACACGTGGGATATAATTAGAGATGTTTCATAAATAAGGAGCCTTACCTCTGAGGTGTTTTGTAACAGTAGGATGAGAAGCTATTCCACAAATAAACAGGAGGACAAGGATGAAAAGGACGAGGCTCTGCTGAAGCCTGGACAGCTGCTTCCATTTCTGAAGGGACAAAAAGTGAGGAATACAAAGAACAATTCCAAATTAGATCCTGATTTTTTCATGATTTAAAGAGTGCAAGGTTTTCTAGCAACTTGCCTGACAGCTTTGAAAAGAATGAAAAGAACTGATTGTGTGCTAATGTGCTGCTAAAATCTTTGAAACAAGAGAAAAATATATTTAGTGCTGCTGTTGCATATTGATCAAGCAAAGTGCAACAAGCAAAGAAATGATTTCTGTTGAGGTTTTAAATATCAGACCTTAATCTAGTGAAGGCAGTCCTAGTTAAATACTATGCTCTGCTGAATTCCCATACTATATTCTGAGATTAGGTTATTATAAAACTCATGTTTGTTGCCACACGCCACATTTCCCTTCAGATAAACAGTATTATTTGTAATTACTGGAACACTTCAAGGCAAAAGCATCTTTGATTTTTTAAAAGATATATTATGCCACTGTAAAATGATGTAATCATTCAACCAGCACCACCAACAGTATCCAAATCCTGCTCAGCCTCCTGGCAGGGTGCATGCTCATATTTTGTCCCATAATATGCAAACATGCATACTACCAGGTAATGTTAACATATGCAAAAGAGTCAGGTTGCTTTACTTACAATTTATCTTTGGCTCCTATTTCATACTGCTATAGAACCACCATTACAATTCTAAAATAAATCACACTAAACAAGTTCTTAAATACACCACTATACCACAACCATACCCAGGAATTCAGGAGACCACTTTGACCTGATTTCACAAATAGAAAAATGCATGAAAAAAAACAGAGCTTGTATGTAACATTGGTCGAGTGTTTAGGCTGCAAAAACTTAGCTTACACACCGCAATGGAATTGCACTGACATCCAAGTAACTTCTATTTAAAGATCTACTTTTGCAACAAGTAACACTGGACTGCCCACAAACCCAGGTAATGTGCCCTTGCAAGTACACAAAAAAGGTTCCTTTTTTTTTTAAGGATCACATTAACATCTTGGATATATATCACCAAAATTCACCTATTTGTTTAAAAGATGCAAAGACAGCATTATGCTTGAACTTGCAATAAAGGCCTGAACAACAATATTTGGACAGTGCTCCAAATGTTTACAGAGTTCATAGCAAATGTAACATTTCATCATAAGCACAACAGCAGTACGACACTACAGCAGGCAAAAGAAGAAGACCATGTATTCTATAGCTCTACAATAGAGCTCAACAATCAATTCATTTCAAATCGCAGTTTCCAACACTGCCATTAGCCCAATAGCTTTAGTTTAGGACCTACAGTACGCAGTGCTTATGACCAAGGGTTTATTTCTTAATATTATTGATTTACTGAATTTGATTTCAGAATGTGCAACACTAACCTGCTGCTCTGAGCCATAAATGACCAGCCAATTTCAATATCAGTTTGTTTACAGAAAGTTCTTTTTTTTTTTCTGTAATGATATTTATTATGTTGACTTTGTTAACCACAGTCACAGCTTTTGTGATGATTGTTCTATCTTCAATGCCATTTAAGTAATGGCATAGAATAAACCCAACAACTTTGGATTTGTTGGGTTTCTCTGTTTAAAACAGAGAAAACCTACTTAAACCTAACTATGTAAAGAGATGACATATGTTGTGAATTGTTGGTATAAAAATAAAATTGAATTAAACTGAATCTGAACAAATGAAAAAAAAAAGTCATGGTTGCAGTGTTCAATGTCTAAGTTCTAATCCTTGTATTAGAGTTTAGATGAGTTATTTTTTTGACGGTGTGCCATTGGTAACACAACATCCCATGTTTTAGATTTACTATGCAATAAATAATGAACTACAGCCTTAAAAAAAAAAAGTTTAAAAAACGGAGTATCAGATTTGTTTGTTTTTTTTTTAATTTACCAAATCATTTAGCCATAATCTACAACATCTTCTTTTTCCCACAGATACACTTGCAAACATCAGGAACTAAGGCCAGCACTGGAAAATGAGGAACACAGGAACAGTGTCCTTATGAGGTTTTGGCAGGATGGGAAACCATACGAAGACAAAAGCAGACAAGAGAGAGATGTGTTGGGTTGGACAAGCTTACCCTCCAGCAGGACTGCCTCCTCCACTGCTTACTGTTGTTATAACTTTCACTTCCTTGTCCGGGAAAGCTTATAGATACATAGTCCTGGCGTGATGATAGGTGCATGTCTGAAGCCAAGGCCTGAGTAAAGAAACGGGTTGAAGGGCAGTGAGAGGAGAGCTGGATGGAAGTGGCAGGTGTGATCAAAGTAACCCACATCCGACAAGGCTGGGGCGGCGGCGGCACTGGATTGTGAGCATGACTAGTAGGCGCTGTTGTTAATTTATAGAGTGAACTAAATTGTACAACAAGAGCAGTTTCACCCTGCTGAAACTCACTTCACTGACATTAATTGCAATAACCAAACGTTAAACTCGTAGTGCTGAGGAAAGTAAACATAAATGCACAGTACAACTAGCTACATAGCTCTCATCACATCTGTAGACGCGCCACAACAGGCCAAGTAATCATCTACAGACTAACATACCAGCGTTCTTCAACTGCATATCGATACACACAGTTTCCGTGCTGGATCCAACCTTGTATGTAGTGAATACAAATACCATGACTACACGATAGCGTTAATTGACCTTTCACTAACCAGGCTACGTGTGGTGTAGCCGCGCTAAAGCCGCTATTGTGCTTACGCGTCACCGGCTCGACTGAACGTTTTGGCGGCTTCACAGCCCACTTGTGGACCGAGGCATGACTCGAGGCCTAACAGTAGCGACAACACGGGTCATAGTCGAGCAGTTTTTAAGTTCAGTAGAAACATTACTTAAATAACAATGCTTTGCTGAGATTTAATGCCTGCTCATCGGTTAAAATGTGGAACTGGCATACACTTACCTGTGAAAGTATAAAATGAAACTAATCCAATCCACCAGGAGAAGTGTCACAGCTGCAGTTAGCTCAACGTTAATGAAACATCTCCAGGGGTCTCTCCATGCTTAAAACACGTCATCGATAATATTATCGAAAGCTACGCAGCAGGTAGCTTTCGATTTAATATTGTACTTTTTTTATGTTGATATTACAGAGACGATCAAAATCTGGTAAACGTCACCCACTTGTAGCTTTGGACGTGATGCTGATCTCTGGCATCAACAAACGCGATTGAGTGATGACCATGCTGCCTTCAGGGGCTGCACCTAAACATCGTAAATACCACAACTATAATAGTTCGATATCTCAGTGTTAATATTTCAACAAATACTTTAAAGCACTCCATCCGTGTCAATTAATCTGAAAAACAAATCAAAAAGCAAATCAGTTTTTACAACCATTTGCATAACATGATATAAAATGATTTACAAAACAATTTCTTCACATTCATATTATGATAGGTGTGAGATTTGCTGCATTCTGACGAAATGCTTTATTTCCAATGAAATAAATAGCTCGTAAATATTTGACGTTATTATTAACTTCCCTATGTTTATGTATTACATTTTTTTGTTTCTGCCTTTTTGTTAATTTGACAGATTTCATTGGAAGTTGAAGTTGTAATGTAAGCATCTGTCACTGCAATATTTGTTCTAAAAGCAAATTATCAATACGATAAATGATACAACAACCTATAGTGCAAGCAATGAGTTTAATGCAGTGTTACCGTCCTCACCATGGCAACCGTAGGGGGGTAAACACCTACAGTCATGGAAAAACAATATTAGACCACCCTTGTTTTCATATTTTTGTTCATTCTAATGCCTGGTACCACTAAAGGTACATTACCTAAAGAATACATTGAACACGACAAAAAAATGCAACTGATAACATAATACTTTATGTCCTATTTGACATACTTAAGATTAATTGTATTCGAAGGGTATATAAGACGCCATTTCATGTCATAAGCAGCACTGCACATGAAAAGGCCTAGAGTGGTTTCCTGCTTACATTCAAGCTGTAGCACAACTCAGAAGTTGTCAGCTCTCACATAATACCTAAAACAAAAGAATTATGTGAAGCCACAAAGGCAGCCATCTTGGCACTGCTGGAAATTAGCATGAGTGAGAAGCAGGTAGCGAAAAAACTCAACATCTCAAGACACCCCTTTATTACATCAAGAAAAAACAAGCCCAACATGGTACTACCAGACTGCTAGCTGGCAGAGCAAATGGTCACAGCTTGTGTTAAACATACAGTAAGCTCAAGGAATGTTTTGACTGGACTGATGGAACCTGTTTTCAGAGCACTCTTTATCTGACGCATTTGAAATGTCATAAATGTACTTTTTATAAAACTCAACCGAAAAAACACTGCCACTTTTGTATGTGTTTTACTAATTTTACCATACTGTTATTATTATTATTATTATTATTATTGTTATTATTATTATATTATGTTATTATATTATTGTTATGTTATTATATTATTATTATTATTATCTCCATTAACTTTTGAATAAACAAATTATGTCATTTGTCATCCAAATAAGTGGCCTTGTAATTTAAAGGGTGCTTGACTATTCAGCCTTACTTTCCTGTTGCCAATTGCTATTCCTTCCAAGTCATAAATGCAAAACATTGGCATTGATGAGAAGTAGGCAAAAGTGCCTCCATAAAAAGCATTATCCAAACTGCCTTAGTTTAAACGTGCCTCTAAATGTGTTGCGATTCAGATCTTTTACAATAAAAAGACAAAATGGGTGTGAGATAGGGGTGTACCGAAAAAAATCACGGTTCAGTACGCACCTCGATACGGAAGTCACGGTTCGGTTCAGTATGGTTCGCTTCTCAGTTAAGGGGAAAAATTTAACAAAAAACAAACCTGCTCAGAATTAATCCAAAACATTTTTTTTTTGTATTAAACCAAAAAGCTGTTAGCAGCTCAGTAAATCAAATTAAATGTACAATGCATACAAATGTAACAGAAATACTGCTGCATCGTTCTCAATATCAAATAAACAAAATAAAATAAATAAAAGTACAAGTGTAGTATTAACAATTCCAGCTTATTGGTCTGCTGTATATATCACTAAGTTACTTTTCCAGTATAAAAAAGGAAGACACTGCTGCAAACAACCAAGTTCAGCAATAAACATAAAAAATAAATAGTTTTCAAACAAATGAAAGAAGTATTATGCAGCCAAATTTGAGCTTATGTGCTGTTCATAAATGAGGCGAGTTTGTAAAACATGTCTAACTAGAAGAGCACTCTGAGGGCGCAGACCTCCACCAAGCAGCTCATTTCCACCATATTGTGATTTCCAGCCAATGTTACAGTCCTGCTTTCATTTGATCTACACTATTAGATTCATAGAAAATCAAAACATAGCTTTAGCATTTGAATTAACATTGATATCATCAATAACAAGCTGATAGAGTGATGAACAAATACTCCTGATCAAAATCTTAAGACCAGTTAAAAAAAATGCATTTTGCACTGTTGGATCTTAGGAAGGTTCTAAGTAGAGCTTCAAAATGCAAAAAAGAAGAAATGGGAACAAGAGACCAAAAGTTGTGAGCCGGCAATTTATTGAAAACAACAATTTAACTCAAATAGGCTTTTCATCAGCTGATCAAAAGTTTAAGACCACAGCCTTTAAAAGCCCCCCCCCCCCTTGAGTTTTTTTTCTGGTTCCTTCCCACTGTTGCCGACCGCTTGCTCAGAGGGAGTCCAGAGGCACCTTTGGATTGTTGGGTTCTCCGTTTAAATTCGTACGGTCTTTACATTACTATGGCGCTATGAGATGGCGTATGTTGTAAACTGTGCTATACAAACAACATAGAATTTAGTTGAACTGAAATGGTCTGCACTGAACTAAAGTGGTCTGGATCAGAGTATCAAGGTTTAAAGTTAATGTTTAACCAGAAATACAACCTGAATGAGAGGAGCTGCCAAAATATATGAGATAACATCAGCTCTCATGGAGGAGGAGCTTTATGACTTGCAGCAGCTCTCAGGCTGCACAGAGACCAAAAAAACATTAATATTAAATAATAGCAGATAATTCAAAATATTTTGAAGGAACTAAACTGGTTTCTGATGAAAGGCCCCATCAACAGCATCATGGTTGATGATGAACAAGGAAACACTGTTTTACTTTGAAAAACTACATGTAAGAAATTGCAAAAACTTGGTGCTTTTCATCAACCTGTGCAGAGAACAACAAGATATGAAAGAGTCAGAAAGACGAATGAAAATATTGAGTGTTGAAAATGACCAGACTGTGAACAAATCTCTGTCTCCATCTTGTGGTGACTTTATGCTGATGTAGAATGTTGTTGGACTAAAATGAAGATGCTGATAGTCAGGATCATGAACATCTCTGATTTGTACATTCGTCTCCTGCTGATGTGACACAGTGTCATGTGGATGAATCTTCTTCTGAGAAGTGACACAACTGACTGCACACACTCAAAACATTAGTTGAAATCCAATAAAACAGCATCAGTCAGATTACAATACAATCAGAGTATTTATTGAACAATAGGAGAAAATATTGTGAGTCAGGTGATTATAAAAACAGGAGTTTCCATCTAAAAATAAATTGTCTCTGAAGAAAAGAAGTAAATCCTTGAAGGTTCAAGTCTTTCAAAACATGATTTTCAGATTAAAACAATTGTATTTTCATGTAATTGAAGCAAGTTTCCATAAAAACAAGAAAACAACAGAACTTTACATGATTCATTTCGGACAGAAGCAGAGACAGTTGGATGAACAATTTCTGTGACGCTCAACAACAAATCAAATCTGCTGCAGAACAAAATAACAACAATCAATGAGAGACAGAAAGCTGTTTGGTTCACTGCAACACTGACACTCTGAGTGTCAAGTGGGAAAAAAAATCACATTAAAACATTTTCAAGACTAAAATAATTCAACAGTACATGAAGAAATCTCACAAACTAAAGAACATGACTGATGACAAGAAAAAACTCCAACAAGCAGAAACAAAGTATTTGATACAGCTGATGAGTCAAGATGCTGCTAACCAGGATAATAATCTACGTTTTATACAATTAGCCTCAGTTTGTACCTGTTTAAACATTGTTCACCTTTAAACTGATGATGTGATACAGTTTCAGTGTTTAGTGGATCTTTTACTTCTCTGACTTATCTGTTGTTTAACCTGCTTCTTCTCTCTTCATGTAAACAGATCCTGAATTCTATGTATTATAATAACTGTATAAAGTTAAGTTTCAGTACTTTTTAACGTTTCAAACATTTTGTTCATGAAAACCATTTTGGATGTTGAACAGATTTCAGAACACAGACACAGTGATAAAAAACAGTGAAGTGACATCAAATCTGTTTTCAAGACAGAATGAACAATATGAAGATCAAGAATGAAGGTTTGGCTGTAAAGTTTGATGATGAGTTAAAAGTGAAATAAACCTGAAATGATTTTTGTTATTTTAGTTTCAGAGTTTGGAGAATTAAATAACTTTCCTGGCAATGAATTCTCAGAGTGACAGATTTTGATATCAGTAGTTTTGGCTTCATCAGACTCTCCAACACTGAAAAATGGGAAGAGTTTCTCAGTGAAAGTGTCTCTGTACATGTAGATGTGAGTCTCGTCTTCAGGGTTGTAGAAGGACACCTCCCCCCTGTCATAGTCCAGCTGGACTCTGATCCTCTGGAGACTCTTCTTCACTCTGACAGTCTGACCATCAC